TAACAGCTGCGCAGGCGGGCAGGAGATTTTGCAAATTACAGCTTCTCCCATCGTTGCCGCACGATGACAGGAGAAAGTGCATCTCTGCCATGACATTGCTGAAAGGCAGAAATACCTTTCAAGGCGTTTAAGCTCTGATCTGGATTTATGTTTGTTGTTGTTTAGTCGTTTAGTCATGTCCAACTCTTCGTGACCCCATGGACCAGAGCACGCCAGGCACTCCTGTCTTCCACTGCCTCCAGCAGTTTGGTCAGACTCATGCTGGTAGCTTCGAGAACACTGTCCAACCATCTCATCCACTGTCGTCCCCTTCTCCTTGTGCCCTCCATCTTTCCCAGCATCAGTGTCTTTTCCAAGGAGTTTTCTCTTCTCATGAGGTGGCCACAGTATTGGAGCCTCAGCTTCAGGATCTGTCCTTCCAGTGAGCACTCAGGGTTGATTTACTTCCGAATGGATACGTTTGATCTTCTTGCAGTCCATGGGACTCTCAAGAGTCTCCTCCAGCACCATAATTCAAAAGTATCAATTCTTCAGCGATCAGCCTTCTTTATGGTCCAGCTCTCACTTCCATGGATTTATGTTTACCTCCCAGGAATGCCCAGTCTCTACCAAAGAGATGTAAGATGGTAGGAAGTACAGTTTGAAGTAGAAAAGCAGCAAGTGGTTGAGAAGGTGCTTTACCCTCACCCTCCCTTCTTTTTCCTTGCAGCTACTCTCTCTCTCTCTCTCTCTCTCTCTCTCTCACACACACACACACACACACACACCTTTTCTCCCAGTTGCTTTCTGGAAGCATGTTTGCTCTGTCCAGTGGGAACACAGCTGGCTCTTCACTGTATTGTTCCAGCCTGAAAACACAGTTCAAAAAATAAAATAAATGCTGCAACTTTTAAAGTTATCTAGCGTATAGTGGCACTACTCAATCACAAGCAGGTGTAGTGGTTAGAGCATGGCCCAATCGCCTTCTAAATCTGGCCCGCAGATGGTCTGGGAATCAGCGTGTTTGTACATGAGTAGAATGTGTCCTTTTATTTAAAATGCATCTCTGGGTTATTTGTGGGGCATAGGAATTCGTTCATTCCCCCCCCCAATATAGTCCAGCCCCCCACAAGGTCTGAGGGGCAGTGGACCAGCCTCCTGCTGAGAAGGTTTGCTGACCTCTGGGTTAGAGTATCAGAGCAGGACTGAGGTAATCCAGGTTTAAATCCTCATTCAGTCATGACCCTCACTGGGTGATCTTAGGTCAGCCACTATCTCCCAGCCTAACCTGCCTCACAGGGTTGTTGTAAGGGTGAAATGAGGGGGGGCAGTAAGAGCAATGAATGCCACCTAGAGCTCCTTAGAAGAAAGGTGGGATATAAATGTAATGAACAAACAAACAAACAAACAAACAAACAAACAAACAAATAAATATTATGACACTGCTCTGTGCCAAACGAGTCCACTTTTACGACTGGCTCTCACGCAAGAATGCCCCAAAGACTCAAGAGTCTGCATTGTTGCAGCAGCAAGAATACATAGTCATATGTTGACAAAGGCATTTTGCAGGGGGTGCAGATCAGACCGCTGAATAAAACTAGTTCCCACTGGAATATTCATAAAATTGTGCCTGCTTATATATATAGAATAGGGACGCGGGTGGCGCTGTGGTCTAAACCACTGAGCCTCTTGGGCTTGCCGATCAGAAGGTCGGCGGTTCGAATCCCCGCTACGGGGTGAGCTCCCATTGCTTGGTCCCTGCTCCTGCCAACTTAGCAGTTTGAAAGCAACTCAAAGTGCAAGTAGATAAATAGGTACCACTCCGGCGGGAAGGTAAACGGTGTTTCCGTGAGCTGCTCTGGTTTGCCAGAAGCGGCTTAGTCATGCTGGCCACATGACCCGGAAGCTGTACGGCAGCTCCCTTGGCCAATAAAGCAAGATGAGTGCCGCAACCCCAGAGTCGGCCACGACTGGACCTAATGGACAGGGGTCCCTTTACCTTTATATATATAGAATAGATATAACTAGATCTTTCCACCAACCTGCATCTACCGAGACACGGCAGAGCAACAAGAAGGAAGTCTCAGCCCCCCCCCAACACATAGGCTGGAGGCACACAAGAAGTTTGAAGAGCTGAGGGGTATATAATAGAGAGGCATTGGCCGAATGCCTTTGGTGTACACCTGTATTTATTTTCTCCCATTATTGTCACTGGTTGAAGAAGTCTGTGGTTGATTTGTTTGTTTCGGAAATGCAAAACCTCTTGCACAGAGAAGACAGCGGTGCTGCCTTCTTGAGGTCTGTGAAATAATAATAATAATAATAATAATAATAATAATAGAATTTATATCCCTTGCTTCCTTCCCCCTCTCCTGCCCCAATGAGTCTGTCTGTAACTAGTGCTATTTGGAGATAGACGGGCTGGTATTGGTTGGGTGAATAAGGGGTGACTAAATCAGTTTTTGTATTTCTCTGCAAAGCTGCGCTAGATGATAGATGGATAGATAGATAGATAGATAGATAGATAGATAGATGCAGATATAGATAGATAGATGTAGGCTTAATTGAACCGCTGTGCATCAATTTATGCACACCTGTTCCATCATATTGATGTATGTTTATATGCAAACCTATATGACAGGTATTTTGGTATAGTGACCGGACATAAGGCACAGACGCCAAGTCATCGAGAAAGATTTAAAAAACTGTCCTGGACTTTCGATGCAGAGAAAAGTGATGCTCCTCTGCCCGATCTGCAGGACGTGAAGACACCAACCCTCTTCCAGAACCAAGCGGTTTTTGTTTTGTTCTGTTTTGGGGTTGTTGTTGTTGTTTTCTGTGGCAGATCCTTTTGCTGTTGCTTCTGGAAATGATTCCTGCCCTGGACCAGCCTCCCTCTGAGCGCGCCCAGCCACCCTCCCGAAAAATAAATAAATGTCAACCTCGTGCATCAGCATCAGAAACGCCCCTCTAGCACAAACAGCAGGTCCAACAAGGAAAGATAGAAATAATAAAAAGAAAGAGCTCTCCCGGCTGGTAGCGAAGGCGGGCACAACCGCCAGCTTCTGGCCAGCCCCATTTGCTTCGCATTGGGCGAGCCGGCGCGCTTTGCAAGACCCAGATCCGTCGCGAGAGAAACGAGGAAGGGAGGCAACGATCGTGGATCGACTCGCAAGCTGGAGCTGGAACAGCCTCCCCCCCCCCCGCCCCCCGCTCTGCCAGCCCTCTGAGCTCAACTACAGGCGGGGACTGAGAGAGGGAGCGAGACTGGAGTCGCGGGCGCACGCGGAGCTGCAGTGCGCTATCCGTGGTGCTGAACAGCCGCACTGCCTTTCCCAGCTATTCTCCCCACCGCCAGCGCTGGCAATTCGGATCAAGGAGTAGAGGTGAAGGCGACCCATCAGCACCGCCAGGTTTACCAGAAGCCACTTCAGGAACGTTTTGGGGGCTTCAAAAAAGAACCTGCACGTTCCGGGGAATCAGAAGTACTTTGAAAAAGAAGATGGTGCGTGTTTGCTCACGTCTGGGTTAAAGGAAGCGCTGGGCTGGAGGCTGCGATTGCGGGCTCCGGGAACTGGGGGGGGGGGGGTAGGGAGAGAAGATGAATGGCCAAACTAAAGCTTCTGAAGTGGAAGCGGAAAGAGAAGTACCCAGGGGTAGTTCTGTCTGAATAAACAGAATGGGAAAGGGGGGGAAAGTAAGCTTGGTAAAGTACCATTTGCTTTTGGCACACTATGTTGTGAATTAAGTGTGGGTTAATCTGGAAGGGTTGTATAGAGGGCAGGTGGGTCATGCGTTAAGGAAGTGGTCCAGATCGATGACCTCCTGGTCCTTTTTTAGCCCCTTTAGTTTTAGTCTGTTTTCTTCTTTAAATGTCTTTGTTTTGAAGTGCATGTCCAATAGTTGCTTGGTTTGGGAGGGTGAAATCTATATCTCTGTCTCTCTGTCTCTCTGTGTGTAAGGAGCAAGTCAGGTTCTTGGAGTGATACCAGCATGCTAACAAAAACAAAAGTCACACCACCCTACAGGCGAATGCTCTGTTGCATGTGCCAAGCATTTTGAGCATAAAGATCTACAAAGAGGGATGAGGGTTAGTGAGCTGAGACCTAAATAAAGCTCTGCTGATATCTCATTGATATAGGTCTTTCCAACCCATGGGAGATGCCCTCAAAGTTGAAGCAAGTGAGAAAGGGAGAGGCCGGTTGGATGGATCAAAGTGACTTAAATACAGATTGGTGGTATCTCAATAAATGCTGTCTGAATGTACACTCTTGCAGCCTCCAAGATTGTATTGAAGGCAGCTGGCCTCTGTTTTCCTGCCCTTGCTTCAAGTAGCTTTCCAGATACATCTGGCACACAAGAAGGCAACTTCCACAAAGAATCTAGGAGACCCAGCAGAGAAGAACTATCTATGTTGATCATGTGTCATTGAATGAGTTTTACCTCCAGGCCCCTCAACTAAAAGGGAGCAGGGGTTAGCAAGGAGTGGGGTGCGGGAGGATGGCCATTTGCAAAGAGATCACTTACTCCATTGGGAATCCTTCAGGAAGAAGACGACACCAGATTCTGCTGGCCTTGCCTACCATACCTCACTATTACTGAAACGGATTGAATGCATTTTCTCATTGCTAGCCTTTGGTTCAGATAACAGCTGGAATACAAAGAATGTGGCCAAGTGGAGCTATCTGGGTTGGGAAAGTAAAGCCATTTCTTACACCTCAATGGCCAGTGAAGTCAAGAGCTCAGCACTGAACTGCAAGAATGACAGAACCCCCAGCATGGCTCTAAAAAATCTGTGTGCCTAGGGTGATGTGGGGGAGCCCTGTGGGATACAGATAGGTGGAATTCTTTGTTGACATTGAACATGACAAGCCAAGATTCATGACTCAGAAAAGAAAGCCTTCCAAAGAAGGACCCAAGTTTTCCTCTTGGACTCTTTAACTGGGTGGTAGCTCCATGCCGCTGTCTCCAATGAGGTGTTGGTCGCTGTCCATCACCTCTATGGTGCTGAAATTTGGATGATGTCTATCAGGAGATCTCAGGGCTGCTGCTGCGTGTCGCATTTCAACGAGGACAATGGTAGGTTTGTCCTCTTAGCGGTGCTCATCATAGCATACCTGACAGCTGGAGCCACCATCTTCTCAGCCATCGAGAGCCCATCTGAAGCAGAAGCTTTGCAGCGTTGGAACTGGACCCTTCAGAACTTCAGCCAGATCTTCAACATTAGCCTCCCTGAGCTACGGGCCTTTTTAAGAAGTTATGAGGCAGCCATGGCTGCCGGCATCAGGGCAGATGCCCTCCGACCAAGATGGGATTTCACAGGAGCTTTCTATTTTGTGGGCACAGTGGTGTCAACTATAGGTAAGTCTCTCTCTTTCTCTCTCTCTGTCAAATGTCTAGAGTCAACACCACATTCTTAAGAAGTAAAAGGGCAATAATGTTGTTCACCACACCATTCATAGATTCATCCATCTAAACACAAGAACTAAAATGCTTCCTATTTAGAAATGTGTGTATGTGTGAAGTAACATTGTTCCAAAACAGAGAAGCCTAGTGGTCTGAGTAGTTTGCAAGCTGATGTCATTTTGTACAGTGTTGAATAAGTTATTTTCAAATTATTTATTTATTCTCTTTCTTACCTGCCTTTCACCAGAAGGTCTCAGGGTGGCTTACAGCATATATAAACATAAGATTATTTGAACTACAACAAACATTGATAACCCTACCCATAAGCCCAAAACAATAATTCCAAATGTTGTACACCTTTCTCTCTCAATATGTTTGCATTGTCATCTTCCTTTCTCCACTCGCCTGTTACTTATTTTGCCCGCCCCCCCATTTTGGTATCCCAATTCCTTTCTCTTTCCTCCTGCCTGGATCTGTCCCTTTTTGTCTCTGTATCTCTGTATCCCATCCACCCACCCAAACTTTTCATCAGCGTGCCCCCCCTTCTCATTTAGGTTAAACTCCAATGTGAAATTTGAAGAATCTGTCTTATTAGCATCTACCCTAAGGGGGTTTTCACGCTATGAAAGATCACATGAATCTCTAGTGTGCTTGCCACTATAAAGATGGGAGACCCAATTTAAATCGAAAGTGCATTCTGTGCAACATAGGTTTGCATTCAGATCACCATTTTCATATGATTATATAACCATCCTTTTGATACGTTTTCAGGTGTGAGCTTTGGATCAGTTTGAATGTAAACCAGCCGGTCTTTAATGTGAATAGAAAATGCCAATTAACTAGAGTGCACATTTTGGGTTGGAGTTTTTTTCCTCTCCTGTAGTCCTAGCTGCAATTCCAGGAAGTGCAAATATTTTACAAGAGGTTCAACTGGACTTTGTAGTGTCACTTCTGAAACTGATCTGCAGGGAGGAGGAGGGCATGGGAGGGAGTTAAGGACTAGAAGTGGACGACATTTGCAAAGATTGCCAGTGATCATGCATATGGTATTGTTTTGATGTTGACTTCATTTCCCCCCACCCAAAAATGGAAGAGTGTGGGTTGAGCAATGCACACGTGTGTGCCCCTTTCAGAAATCCAAACAAACACAAACAGCTGCGACACACTTTAATGAAGTAGATGAGGTGAAGTTCAGAAGTGATGTGTGTTTCTCTTTCTAGAAAGCTTTCCTAAGTTGCTATAGCAACTGGAGTTTGGAAAGTGTTTGGAAAGTCAGGATGCCTCTGTTAGACACACACACACACATACACACCACCACCACCACCACCACCACCACCACCACCTGCCGTCTCCCTACTGTGTAAGTAGTTGTCTATATACTGGATGTGGAGTTAATGCAAGGGGCAGACTGGGGACAAATGGTCAAATTCCTGCTCCCGGCCTCAGTCCTCATATCCACCCAGGCTGCAGACCTAGGCCCATGGGATTCCATAGGTCTGGAGTTGCAGTGTAATTTAATCAATTTGTGAGTAAGCCTTTCTGCAGTGGGGCTTACTTCTGAGTAGATATGCACAGGTCTACTCTATCACTGCTGCTAAATTATTTCTTTATTTTCCCCATGCCTAAGTTGAAACCAGATTGAATTGTCCTGAAACTCTATATCCGCAGAACTCTAGGCAAAGAGAAATTCTGGATTTCTCCACAGCCATGAGATATTCCCCTCCCTTCCCTTACACTGATCAGCATAATTTATCTTATGATTGCCTCGGCGTGAAATGGAATTAAAAATGCATACTTCAAAGCAAGAAGTGAGTAAATAACATCTGATAAAAATAGGATTTGGACTATTTTTGCGAGAATCTTTGTTTGCTTGTGATTTTTAGCCTGAGGACAGCCGTTTGCTCTCTCTGGTGGGTGGACGTGTGTAAGAGTTCAAATATTTTGTGCAAGAAAACGCGTGGAAAATTGATCCATAGATCAATTGGGTTGCAGAGATGAAATCAGATTTAGGGTCTGTGCACATCACATTTGCTCAGCGTTCGCCCTGGGCTTTGCTGGTGTGACACAGGCATGCTTTTATGGCATGCCACCTGAAGATACATTTAACTGTGTCTATGCTTCTGTGCAGAAGAGGGGCAGACAGGTGGCAAGGGGAGAAAATGGCGGAGGATGGGATTGCAGGGAGAGAAAGATGGGTGCGCACTAATTTCAACCCCAGCCATGCTCACCCCAGCCCTAATTCCACCCACTTTGGGCATGCATTCTCTGTGTATCCAACCCTCCAAGGGAACGTGGCCATAGCTCCAGAGAGCTTCTGCCTTGCACACAGAAAGCCCCAACATCTCCAGGTAAATCTGCAAAGGACTCCCATCGGAAAACCTTGTAGAGTCAGTGTTGACACCGGGCTAGATGGACCCGTAGTCTGAGTTAAGGCAGATTCCTATGTTTCTACTACTACAACAAAAATGGTTCCTACCCACAACCCCCTGGATAGGGAATGACTAAAAACGTTCCATTAATGGGCCCTGCAGGTCAGTCGAGGGTGAAGGTGTTTGATGAATGGCATTTTGACGGCTGGTGGCTAATGTCTGTCGGCAATGTCCCGCCTGGAGAGAACAAGTTGCAATGGTTCAATTGCAGCCCATGAAGCAGATGTGTGAGGGTTTGTGTGTGCAAGTGTGTGTTTTGCTGCTGGTTCGGGAGCTCCAAGAACATGATATTTGCTTCTGAGATAAACTGATACTGCTTTAAAAACTAGTACTATCTCCATTGACATCTGATTCATTCTCTCTCTCTCTCTCTATATATATATGACCAGTATATTCCCCTCATACGGGACGTGGGTGGCACTGTGGTCTAAACCACTGAGCCTAGGACTTGCCAATCAGAAGGTCGGCAGTTTGAATCCCAGCGACGGGGTGAGCTCTCGTTGCTCGGTCCCTGCTGCTGCCGACCTAGCAGTTCGAAAGCACACCCAAAAGTGCAAGTAGATAAATAGGTACCACTCCGGCAGGAAGGTAAACGGCATTTCTGTGCGCTGCTCTGGTTTTGCCAGAAGTGGCTTAGTCATGCTGGCCACATGACCTGGAAGCTGTACACTGGCTCCCTCGGCCAGTAAAGCGAGATGAGTGCCGCAACCCCAGAGTCCTTTGCAACTGGACTTAACTGTCAGGGGTCCTTTACCTTTATTCCCCTCATAAGCAAACAGGATCCATAAAAGGTTGTCTTCCTGAGATGTCCTATTGCTCAAGGAAGGGCTATGAAGCACTAGGTTAGGCCTGCTGAGAGATACCATCTGTCTCAACAGTATGCTCAAGAAAGGCTGACCTTCCTTTTCTCTGCTGATTTAAGTCTAGCTCCTGCTTCGTAGTAGGTGTATAACTAACAGCAGCTGCAAAGATGCTAATGGATGCTCGCTCATGGGATCACAGTACGTTGGTCCTGCAGGTGGCTGCACTAGTCACCAATTCAACCCTGGACACAATTCAAAGTTTGGGTGGTTACCTTTAAAGCCCTAGATGGCTTCAGTCCAGAATACTTTATGGATTGTTCCTACACACACCATGCTATCTTTTCCTTAAGAATGGAAAGAGAGGCCCTTCGCTGTGTCTAGGATGGAAGGCGGGCAGGCTGGGACAAGAGACAGGGCCTTCTCAGTGGCTGCACCCAAATTATGGAGCACCTCGCCCCCTCACGTGCAGCCAGGCCCTATCCCTCACTGTTTTTCACCATCTGCTAAAGGCCTTTTTTATTCTGACTAGGTGTTTTTTTTATGGGACAGAAAATGCTTTTGTGATTTTTTTTCAAAGAACTATTGATTCTGTTTCTTTTTTCCCCCTTTTCTTTTTTGGGGAACAATGGGAATTGCAGAAATCTATAGCAGAGGGTGGTTTTTAATCTTTGTTGGAAGCCACCCAGAGTGGCTGGGGAAACCCAGCCAGCTGGACAGGGTACAAATATTATTATTATTATTATTATTATTATTATTATTATTATTATTACAAGATCCAGGATTCCAGAGGGTAGAATCCATGCAAGTTAAACTAGAACAAAATCAGTATTGATATGTGGTGTAGACACACCCTCATGCCTTCCCATGTTCTCTCTTCCCCATCTCAATTTTTCTACTTTTCCCGGGGCTCACACTGTTTGGTGCCACTGGTGCACCATCTCATGTCAGGGGCAAGGGCAGTTCATGGGTCCTCAGCATTTGAAGAGCAGTGGCTTGCATTGCTCAGGGGAACCTGGATAAAGCGCTGGGTTCAAAGCACATTCTGTAACGCTGCACTTATAAGTAAGGATGTTGGGATTTATTGGTTTAATTTCATTTTAAGGGCTCGGGGCGAATTTAATGAATAAGGACGGATATGGATGTGAGGTGAAAGCAGACTACATGCCCCTGGAACTCCTTTGACAGCAAGACTCCCGTTGTGTTATTGAAACAGGGAATAAAAAGAGGAGAAGTAAAGGTGGCTTTTTTGCCACTCACAGCGACTAGTACTTTGATGGCGAGTAATCTCATACTTCTTGCAATATCTCAGAAAGCGTCCGACACTGGGGTTTTTTCTCATATGCATCTGGAAGCAATTTGACTATTTATGCACTTAACCAGTCAAAAGGTGGGTAATCCACCAATTAAAAACTATTTAAACAGATGACAGCCCCAATCATAATAAATACTTACTTTCAGCCCACTCAACCTACTGTTTTGATCCAAGCAGTTTGCAAGAAATATTAAAATGATCAATAAAGAAAACAGTGAAAAACAATTAAAATTAATTAAAATTAACCACGAAAGAGGTTAAAACATACCCACATGCCTGAATAGAACCATACATTGCAGAGACCCTGGGGGTCATCCAGTCCAGCCCCCTGAAATGCCTAAATTAAAATGTTGCAAGGAGGCACCAGGAAGAATACAGCACAGGCACTCAGCAGATGTCAACAGATCGAGA